TTTTAGTAAACACGGATCTCTACAAAAGCTTTGACAGTGCCTGCGTGAAAGCTGTCTTCTGTGCATCACTTGCAATCAGCTCATTTGATTAAAATATCGTTTAAAATGTCTGTTAATTTCCAAGAAAAAAATATTAAATGGATAGATAAGTGCGTTGGAAAACGAAATTTCTTTCAGATGAACGCTGCTTTAATATTTTTTTTCTTTTCAAGTCTTTTTTAGTCAAAGGAAACAGTYGAAGTTTCTCTGTATAATCCCAGCCGCCCATCCAAAGCAAATCGGATGCAAAAGCTTAGGGACAGTCATTACGACAAAAGTGTGCTTTCGGAAGACCATCATGTGATCGATAACGACCCAGTCGAAGCGCCACGAGAGGAATGTAAAGTGTTCAGGCGCGTAGCAAATAAGATAGATAATCACCATCCAGTAGATGATTCTTCGTAGCTTATTCTCCAGCTCGTTAATCCTGGATCGCGGCTCGTTATTCGCCGTTGCGGGCGCCTCTTCTTGGTGTTCGTCAGTGTTGTCTTGTTGGACSTTTTGTTCCTCAATGTTGCTTATGGAAATGACATGCGCTGACATCTCTTGTCGTTGGCTACAATCTCGCGTTCTACCGATGAGTTTTTTAATCTTAAAGAGCAGTGTTCCATACGCCATAATCGTCACCGCAAATGGGATCATAAGGCGGCAGACAAACGGTGCAACATTGACGTATGTCCACTTGACCAAGTCTTTACTGTCTCCAGGAAGCACGCATGATGCAACCTCTCCACCTTTGCATAACGGGTACGACTTAAGCTCTGAGAAAATTGTCATGGGGACCGTAAGTGCCAAGCCCCACAACCACGACATGACAACTGATACGTATACAGTGATCTTCAGCGTGCGCTTTTGAGGTTTTCTTAAAACCATACAACCGTACACAGAAAAAGCTGCCAGGGTAAACGATACCACGATAGAACAACAAACATCTGCGGGAGGAATCAGTATACACATGACTTTACCAAATACCCAGCTCCAAGGCTTTGTCAGGTAGTGGAGTCCAAAGGGTGTTAAAAATGCACCAAGGAGTTCCGCCACGGCGATGTTAGCGATGAGAATGTAGCTTAATGGCTTACAGCGAGTTAGGTATATTCCACGTAAAACTAGCGTATTGGCGAGTACGGAGAGAATTAGGATTATACACGCAACTAC